AAGGTTATTTTAGTGTTGAAAAACTCTTTAATTGATCATCTCGACATCAAGATGTATGAATATGAAAAAAAAAAAAATATTTTGAGTCCCAGAAATAGTGCATCTTGCAACATATTATCTAGACCATCCATTTTCAAGATTTTCATATGCTTATAAATCTTCTTGATTTCAACCATTTTTGGAGTTTCAAATTTTATCATTAGATGTGAAAATAAATTTTGAGATAATCCTAAGAGTTTTTACACCAAAATTACATGTTATGGTAAAATTTAGAGGTGTGCCTTAATTGGATTGTTTAAGGTTGCAACCTTATAGAAACCACGCCCATTTTTAAAACTCCCAGTCGAATAGGAAATCAAATCTCTTTTAAAACTAAAAGATTCCCTATCCAACTAAAAGATGGCATATTAGAAAAAAGGGGCGTGCCATATTAAAAAAAAAGGGTGAGCATACCCTACCAATAGTCCATATGTTGTGTAATCCTACTGATTTGAAAAGAAACTTGATCCACTGGCAAACACAAGGGTAACAGCTTCCTGACAGGACTAATGCTTTTCACACCTCCATGCAATTGACTTCTAAATAGCTTTCAAAAACATACATTGCAAAAATATGTGGTTCTCTTTCCTCTCTGCAAAAAGCAAAGAGGGCATCTGGCTAGAAATATCCCCTTTGACTAGAGATAGGACATGGTAGGAAGCCATTGGTGTAGGGACAACCAGGAGAACCATTGCACCCTTTGGTGGGAGTGTGAAGACCAAAGTGCCTTAATGATAGACTTTGGGAAATTTCTTCTTCTTACATGTTCATAGGAGTCCTTGATAGAAAATTAGCCATGGGTGTAATGGATCCAAACTAGACAATTGCCCCCTGGTAGTAAAGGCAATGTAGAGGACTAAATTGCCTCCCATGCACGAATAAGAAGACCTGAAGTTGGGTGGGGATTCCATGGCGGTGGCAACCCTCACAATCAGCAAACATATGTTTGGCAAAACTGCTCAGGTCACAGTCAATATCTAGGCCAATAGAACCTCAAATACTTTTTAAAAAGCAATGGATCTGCCAAAAAATCCACCACGTCTCCATTGCCAATAATCCATCTCACATTATATTGCAACAAGTTGATTCCCCTCATAATGCCTTTCCATGTATAAAACGTATGCGAGCCCTTGCATGGCAGATAGAAGAATTCCAAATATGTTTTTTCGAAAAAGCATGCAATGTAGCTAGATGGATTTGCAATGATTCTCCAAGCCAGTTTCATCATGCCTGTAGTTAGAATTGATCTTTGGGTTGCTGATATTGTTCTCACCACAGGGATGGCCTCAGTTGACATGTTTTCAATTAGAAAACTAGCACCTGTAGATCTACTAGGAGGTTCTCTTTGTTTCTCTTTAGGAATGTTACTTGTAGGTCAATCTGGAATGCTTAGTCTTGTATTGTGTAAATTATAGTATGGTACACATGGTTTGCTTGTCACTGTACATTAAAATCTTTTATGCATTTTTTTATTGTTCATAAATATATCTGGTATGCTCTGCACCCCTATCGAAAATCAAAATTGAGAAATTGAAGTCCTTAGTTTTCCAGTTCTTGATTGCTGCCTCTATCTTTGAAGGAAGAAACCCTTAAACTGTCACAAATAAATGCTACTTTGGTCACTTTATAATCTTTGTTCACTTTTTATTATGAACACTTTATATGTTGGGAACCTTTTTTGTCTTGTAAAAACACCATTATAACCAACTAATAATATAATCTTTTATAGTATATGTCGTAAAGAATGCAGATCGTTGTGCAAAACATATATCTGGAATGATCATATAACTCTCTCAGCCATCGAAAGGTGTATTGGGCTTTAATCTCTAACTCCCATATGGAAAGAAGGCTTAAGTGCTTGTCTGGCACACCTCTTTCAACGTTGAATGATAGCTATTGTCCATTCATGTAACAGCCTGATGACCAATATTCTAGACATGCAGCCGACACATTGCCTTCTCAGACCATGTGCTTGATACCCCTGTTAATTATTTTGTGGTTTGTTGCCAAAGAATATTTGAGCAAAGACCTAAAGTTCCAGGAAATAGAGTTAAAGGTAATGGCGTTGACCAGGAATTGTGAAATCACTTTCAATCAGTATGAGGGAAATGCCTACTCATAAATCTTTAACCCATCCATGCTACCTTACTGGTTGAATGGCCATACAAATTTAAGAAAGCATTGATTATGTCACTATATTCATTTCAGATAATCCCTTGGCCCTTGACACTTCCCAGGTTGTGTTTTACATGTTCTGTCGCGTTCATTTTGTGGGATTTCTGTAGCAGTAGTTGTGAAAAATTGTGTGAACTCTTGGAGCCTTTACCATGTCTTGGTTTCATTCATGTTTGTCATATGATGAACAAAGGCCTAGCTGCTCAATTAGTTTTGGTTTTTATTTTCCCATTTCACTTTAGAATATGATTTGGTTTCTTCCTTATATAATGGGTTCCCTGTTCTGAAAATGCTCGCCTCTCTATCCATACCTAATCACAACATGGCAATTAATGCAAAGTTGCTTTGAATCTCCTTCAGCTCCTGTATTGTGGCATGAGTAGCAATGGGGAGGCTGAAAAGACACCGTTTTCTTTAACTCTAATGTCACTGATATTCTTCTTAAAACCCTCTTCCAAGAAAAGACAGTGAGAATATTTGGTATAGGATGAAACAACTGTTTGGACCAAGAAAAAGTAGCCCTTGAATCCCATGCCAAAAAAATGGAGATACTGATTTTGGTGTCTTCTGAAGGTAGCAATGGAAAGGGAATCCTTTGCTACAATTTCACAGAGTTGGTGAATAACGACACTTGGCAACCAGGAAAATTTCCTGCATTGCAGGGAACTTCGAATCAATTCAACTACTTTAATGTTTAGGATTCTTGTCTGATAATAAAAGGGCAGTCCTTCACCTAAGCCCTGGTTTGGCTCAATCCACTTTCAGAATATCAATGATTGGTGCGGTTATGTTTGAATATGAGATTGTCCATCAAACCCTTTTCCCAACTATTTGGAGTTGGCTACACGAATCCTGGTCCGCCATTCTACTCTATCAAGGGTTAGTGAGGCCATAAATCACTGTATCTTTACTCCCTACTTCCAACCATGTATTTTTGGGCCTACCCCTTGCCCTTTATGTGTTTCTAATATGAGTAATTGTATGACTTATATTCTAGGATACATAATTGTCAACATTAAGATGATTGCTGGAATATGGATTCACCCCTAAGAGAGAGCTCTCACAATTCATTGATATGTAGAAGTGCGATGATAGGAGAGAACTTTTCTGAAACCAAGTATGGCGTCAAACATATGTAATATTAGGAGTTCAGTCACAAAAATGCTGGCTGCATTTGAAACCTGAATTGTTGGCCAAGTGATGAATACAAATACTAAAGAAAAATAGAACGATAAAAAAAAGAAAACTTTAAACCAGTGATGCTAAGACCAGACGAGTGGTTTGAGTTGGAAATTTGTGAAACGGTGGCCTCTCTGGTCTGCTCTACCTTTGGACCGCATAGTCTAGTGAATTGGTACGGGACTGGGGGATCGGCAGGTCGACTGGTGTAGTACCGAACTGGCTGGTTTAGATGAGGTAAAAAAGAAACACTAGAAAACTTTTGTTCTTTAAATTGTGTTTTTAGTGGTTTTTTTTCATCCTTTTTAATTCGTTTAGGGCATTTTGACTATTGTTTTTCTTATTAGGGATGGTTTTTGGGTTTAAAGGAGGATATTTAGACAAAGAGATCACTTTGGCTCAATTTTTTTCATAGTAGGGATGGTTTTGGGGTTAAAAGGAGGATTTTTAGACAGAGATCATTTTGGCGATTTTTGTTCGATTCTGTGTGTGTCTGTCTGTGTGTACTCAAAAACTACCAATTTTTGGGAAAACTCTAGCGAGTTTCTATTTTGGCCCTTAATCTGCCGTACTTCAAGCCCCAAGTAAGTTCATTATACCCTTCGTTTGATTGTTTGATTTATATTTGGAAATATAGAAAAATTGAAATTTAGGTTTTTTTTAGAAATGATTTTCCTACCTTTTTTGTTTAAAACAATGTTGCATTTTCTTTAATGAGTTTCATGTTGTTATGGGCTCTTTATTTTTGACTTATTTCATTGTGAATGAGTATTAAAAATGATGGTTTATTTTTGTTTCTAAAAGATTTCTACTTGCTTCCTTTTCTTAATATTTTCCATTTTTCAGTATTATTATCTATATTAATATTGATGGGTTATTTTTATTTCTAAAAGATTTCTACTTGTTTCCTTTTCTTAATATTTTTCCATTTTTCCGTATTATTATTAATTTTTCCATTTTTTTTTATTATTTCACATTCTGTAAATTTTTAAGTTATCAGACTATTGAACTAGTCTTAACCGGTCGGTCAGACCGACATGTGCCCTTATTGGTTCAGCCACCATTCCATTCTTAACAACATTGCTCAAAATGCCATGTATTCCATTTAAAAGACACTCATGCTGCTCTGTTTCTGGAAAATAAAATGCAAGTTTTAAAATTTACTGCACAAGTGACATCCAAAGGAAGTTCATTTGTTTGTAAAAATTGGATACTCTTTATTTTGGGTACATGTAGAACGATGCATGCCGTTTACAAGCTGCAAACTGCACATCACCTTTAGTGTCTGGGACAAAGGATGGTTGATGTGGTGAGTTCCTTTGCCTGAGCGGATATTATGGAGGACATGTCACATGAACCATCCACCACCAACAATGGACAACAGGGTAACTTGCAGTAGTAGTTGCTAAGCTGCAATGCAACACATTATGTTTTTCTTGTCAAGCCTTTTAATAGGAACTATTTTATTTTTCTTTTTCACATGGCATCTGGAATAGATGGTAGTTATGCATGACAAGATAAATTCTTAGAATTATAACTTCATGAGTTTTCATATCTTGCAATTGAACTGGTTAGAAATTTCTTCATGAGAATATATTTTACACTAGGAACAATGCGCTGTGAGGGAGAATGAGATTTTGCGGAAGCAGGTAATCCATGGAAGCTTGTTGGTGCATTGTTACAATGTCATTGATGAAGTTAAGTGCAAGTGAAATGTAACCTTTTGTTGAGTATTCACCGGCTAACTTTTGTAGGTAGAGGATCTGCGGGGTCTGCTGCCAGGAACTGAAAGATCAGTGACAAAATATCTTGATTTTCATCCCGTTGAAAGGAAAGTTTCCCATACGAAGCCATTGCTCCCTAACCTGAGTGCATTATTTAAGTGCACATTTGAAAAGGCAGAGCATTCTGACACTTCTTTGCACCTGGGGTAGTACTCATTCTTTATGCTTGCATAATTAAGTGATGCATGATTTATTCTTTTTTATTGTCTTCCACAACGGTCATATACTTTTCCTCTTTTTTCCCAGTCGCAAAATGTTCATGGGAAGTTGAAATGTTCGATTGTTTCTTCTTTTTATTGTCATAAATGATGATTGTATGCCCCTGTTTTCTTTACAGTTATCTTTTATAACTAATAAACTGAACGATATGGAACCAGGTAGATATCTGTTCTGCTATTTAATGACATCATTAGGCTGGGTTGTTTTCCATTTCTCGTATTATTCTCTTTGCAATGAGAACTTTCCATTATATTCACTTCTAAACAATGTGTCCGTTGTGGCAAAACCAATGTCTATAAAATCGAGAGTGGGTTTTCTGCAGGTGGAATCATTTCATTATTCAATATTAGCATCATCTAGTCCTTTGGATAAGAAAAGTTAATAAAATTTTATGCACTCTATTGATGTAGTAATCAGAATAGGAATAGAATTAGTATTCTTGATGTTTATTCAAATGCAAGAATACGAATGCCTATGTGCTACATTTGGTTTAATGTTCTCATAAGATGAGAACCTTTAGGCAACTGGAGTCTATACGGACTGGGACTCGGGTAGAGCTTGAATAATCATATGTCATGAGGCTGATATATGAATCCACTTAAACCAAGAGGTTAATGGGTTCCCTCTACTCAGGGTCAGTATAGACAGCTCATGTTTTAGTCAGGGCACTTGTGATTGGTTCGCGTTGTTATTTATATTTTTGTCCTGTGTGAGTGTACTAAGGCATTGAGAGGACATATGCCAAAACCCTGACACTTATAGTCACTCACAGCATGCACACAATAACCGTTATATTGGGAAGCCGTTCTGATTTGGTTTGATCCACCAAATCAGAAATGTATGCATGTGCAGAGAGGGGAGGCCCCGCATTCTCAGTAATGCATGTCCTCGAGGGGTGCACCAATAATCCACCGATATCTTGAAAGTCACATCGTCAATTAGTCGGCTTTGACAGAACCAATGATGTGTACCAGTCTCAGACTGTGTCGCATGGGATCTGTTGGGTTGATTTGAAGAAACGATATATGACCAACAATAATAGCCCGGTGGAGTACCTATTCGCTGATGATCATCATATTCAGTATTAAGACCTGTTTAATTCAATCTGGCTTTATTATGGTTCATTTAATTCTGTACTATTTTATATGTTTATTTTTGGCAAAATATCTTTTATCCATACCATTTATGTAATTGGGGAAGAAAATATACACATGGCCAATGTGTGTCAACTTCCCCCCATTAAGCCAATCTACGCTTAACTTCTTTATTTAAATAGAATGGATAATTGAATTTTGGACCACTACAACAATTAGATTGTTTGTGGACTACCTACCCTTTTTACACACATGAAAAGTGTGGTTCACTACATGAGCAAAACATGGAGGTTTTCACTTTTAATCCATGGACTAAAAGTAGTTGTCTATTTTGGGTAGGTTAAGTACAAGATTGAAAGTGATTTTTTTGTTAAGGGAACAAGATATGACACTTTGTGTCATACACGTGACTAGTTTCTTTAAATGTTTCTTATATTGCAAGTCACCTTAAGGATGAGGGTCACCTTAAACAAGGGGGCACGCACCACCTATGTTGGCTTCTTTCTTCCTTTGTGATGTTCTTATATTTGAAATAGATGGTGATACGGTGAATTAAAATGATGGATGGTTTTAAAAAGGCTCATGGTGATTAATGGTGTTAAGATGAATCCTCACTATCCAATGATGGCAAGGCATGGTGATGGAATAAGTCTAATATTGTTGGCCTTTCTCAACCCTTGATTTGTTTTTCCTAGGGCTAGGATTAAATCACACTCTCTCTCTACCCTCGATTAAAATCTGTAAAAAGGGGAGTTGACTTGAAGGCAAAGTGTGGTTTGCTTGGTTGCTTCCATGCTTCATAGTATCAAGTACGAACTTGGCTTCATAAAACCAAAGGTTGATTTTGTGATGTATGATCTTTATAAAATAGTTTTGGTTTTACAAGGAGCTCTTGTGAGGTGGGATACATGTTTTCATAAGCTTGCGTTCGCTCAAAAAAATCGCAGAATACATATGTGACTGGTTTTTGAGAAAATCGTGAAAACCGTTGTGGTCTATTTTCTGTAGCAAGAAGAAGCATTACCATGCTAATTTGGTCACTTGTTGCTCATATATTCCCATAGCAGTTTGAGTTAAAAGAGGTCCTTTCTCCTTTAGTATTTTTCTGCAGTTATTTTGATCATCCAAGAACTGATTTTCAGCAACTGTTATCATATAGATAACAGTTGTTTCAAACCTTCCTGCAGCAGATGGTGCAAACCTTTGAGGCACGTTTTCTACAAAAGCTTTTATCCCATTCAAGACTGGCTCTAACCTTAGAACACATCTGTTTTTGGAGTTGTATCTTCTCGTTTTTCTGCTGCCATTTCTTTTGGTTCTAGATGCTGCTGCCTGTCTTGACGTTGCTGGTTTTTGTTGCTCATCAAGCAGCAAAAGGATGTTTGAGGCTTCCCATTTGTTTCATTGCTTGAATGGTCTCCATCATTAACATCTCATCTCACCAACAACTGAAAGACTCTTGTCTTCATGAACCGGAAACTGTGATCCAAAACAAACCACAGAGAATTGGGTCTTCTTTTCACGCCATGGAGACCACCATTGATACTAATTTTACCCATTTTCTGCTGCTTGTTTGTTAGGATTGTTGTGATCCCCATAAGACCTAATTGTAATCAGTTGGTGTTGCCATAAAATCCTTCACGCTGCCTGGTATTTAATCGTTGACGAATTTATCACCATGCAGTTCTGTTGCTGCTGCCAACCAGCAATGTGAATCTTCCATCTTCACTCTTTTGTTGTTGAGGGATATTGGTTCAGGAAAACACTTGGTTTTCTAAACTTTCTAGCTACTGAAAAGTAGTTTCGTATGTGCTTAGATTAGTTTTATCTATCATATTTTGACCATTATTTAAGCTTGAGCTTGAACCATAGTTCATTGCTAAACAATAGCATTGTAATTTGGTTGAGCTCCTTTCCTCATTATATGCTCAATTTTTAGCATGATCTCTTTCTGATATGGCCATTCTTGTTCTCACGTACTCTTCTATGTTAAAGCATTCTTGGTTCAGCTCGTGTCCATCTTGACTTTCTAGGTCAATCTGCATGTTATTAAAGGCACGAACCTTTACATGATTTTTACGTTATTATAGTGCACTCACACCTTTGGTCACACCTGAGATCCTTTTTGGTTGCTCGGTATACAAGTTTAAATCTTTGAAAGTATTTTGGAAAGCTGTGACATCTCTTATGCTTTGAGATAGTCAAAAGAAGAGAGAGAGAGAGAGAGAGAGAGAGAGAGAGAGAGACGTACAGTAGTAGTAGTAAGTAAGAAACTAAGTAGTAGTTTCGTTTTCGGTTTGGGTTTGGTTGTAGTTCGTCTTACCACACAACCACGACGACGTAACGTTAAGGTTAAGTGTCGCGACGACTAAGTTAGTACT